GACATTGTACTCTGGTGAATTTACAATTTACTCATTTGAGGACGCGCTTTCTTTCATCAAATACTACAACGCGTTTCTCAACAGTGTTCACCTTAATGCTAAAGTATCGTGAGCCTTTTGGCTCTTGAAGTAATATACTTCACATAGCGCCAAGAATAGTTGATTAACGAAATTCCTAGAAATACAGGCGATCTCAAGTCAGCCCCTATAAAACTTGATATCAATTACTGGCACCAAATGCATTCTCTAGTGAAACTTTTGAGTCAAGAAACTGCCAAACACGCGGCGTGATTGTTTTCGACTTTTATTTAGAGGAGTACAAAATAGTTAGAATTTAAGACAAATATGTTTAGTTCACTTGGAATATTTCCATTCCAAAGAACGGTTGAGTAATTAAGAAAAAACAATATTTTAACTAACGATTAGTTGTTTTTACCTCGTTTTAACAAAATAGGGAGGCTCTTTGACTGATTTGAAATCTATTATAATTTTTTTGAATAAAAAACGTTCACTTGGTATAGCTTCAAATGAGTTAAATAAAAGCACTTAGATGAACGCGTCTCTAAATTAAATTGTTTCGACCAAAGCGAACTGGGCAAATGCGATTATTTACTCTGTTGTAAAAATTTGAAGAGCATTACTTAGTGGCATTAACTTACGGAAAAATAGTCAGAAAAGCGGGAAAACAAGATTACTGTTTCCCCCTTTTAAATTACTAGAAATCTGAGAATAGAAGAGTAGAATAAGACAAAGCATCATAGTATCAGAGATGGCAAAATTACTTTTAAAACGTATTTAAATTAGATTACTAATTACTTTTATGAAAACTGCGAAAATGTAATTAAATTACATTACAAATTTCCGTAGACTAAAAGTAATGACTTTACCTTACAATTACGTTCCAACGGTAATGAAATTACTTTGACATTACTTTTGAATACCTCGAGGCAGTAATCCACGCTCATTTTGTTTATCGTATATGTACCACAACTCAGACCTGCCTGTTTACACCACAAAAGCTTTATGCGCCTTAAAGTGAATCACACTGAACAGTTTTGCTGGCGCACAAAACATAAGTGTTAAATATGACGAATGGCTTCTTTTAGATGTGACTCTAAGACAGTCGACTCACTGGTTTCGCTGTTCATTCAATGGTGAGGGTTCTTACTAAAAGAGTGATATGCTTCCGTCTTCCCGATTTGGACGAAGTCATAGTCTATGTCAGTCTGTTAATTCGGGCCATGGGAGCTCCTTCTTACAAGATGTCATCGCGTAAAACGTTTCCCTTCCACCTCGGACGCAGTATAATCGTATCGTCCCAAGCTCACTAGGTCACGTATTTTCGGTCATTTCTCTCAAAACGTTTTGTTCCCAAATACCCGAAGAGCCCAAGTTTTCGCGCATTGTCACACAAAGGGGCAGAAGCGTCGCCAGTTGAGGAAATGAAAGACACGAGCTTCCTAAACTGTGTACTTTCCCAACAAACGGGAGGCGATATTAGCTTGTAGGGTAATTCCCGAATAAACTTCCCAAGGGAAGGCAGCGAGGCGTACCGCTAGCGGCACCAGCTTTGCTCGAGGCCGGATGCAACGTTCTGGATCCTTGACAGGGAATTTAGAATTAACTATTTATTCCGGTAGTTTGTTCTTCACAATGGTCGAAGCTTACTGTTTGACCTTCCTTGACGAAAGTACAAGAAGGCTGGGGATCTGTTTGTCCTGCCCTCTCAGGTTTTAAACTGTGTTGACATCACCGGTGATGTGACCTTCGCCTTGTAGCTCATACGCCGTTCATTCATAAGCTGACAGTGCGGTGGAAGCTAGGTGCTCGTTGGAACAGTCACAGATTTATATTTCTCCACGTAACCACGCTCTCGTTCATACCCACGCCTAGAGAAAGGGACGAGCTAGGTGATTAAACGGAGGTGTTTGATTGGTCCTGGTTAGCTCAGAGCTCCCACCGCATTTTAGGCTTAGGAATGAACGAAGTGCAGTATCGTCGTGATGACGTGAGGCCGTGAATCTGTTTTGCCTAGAGTTCGTGACCTGTGGCCTTCCAGCGTTATCTACACGTAAGTTTTCCTCCTTCGCCTTTGCAGCCCGCTCTTGTGCGTATGTTTAGTTCTTCGTACGAGGCTTTGCGCTCAGGTGGCCGTCGTTTGTTTTCTTTGATGTCTTTTTCACAACATTTCACCATGCAAAGTATTTTTTCTTCTTTTTTTAAAGCTTACAAACGAACTTTCTAATTTGGGACAAAAGTAATTTCAAAAGTAATGAGTAATTTTCATCAAAATTACTGCCTGAAAATAATTCATTACATTACTAAATTGCCAGCCTAAAGAAGTTATTCATTACCACAAAAAGTAATTTAATTATTGTAATTTAATTACAGTAATGCTATTACTGCCATCTCTGCATAGCACTCATTTTCTTGGCAAGAAATTGAGAGATGAGGTATTGAGCACTCAAAGAGTGAAGAAGCTCAAACATTTCTGGATTCAGGCGCACAGGGTTAAGGAGTTCGAGTCTTTGAAAACCCGCTTCACAGCAGATGGCTAAACGAAGCCGTAACAAAACTAACTTGAGGACTCGATAGCACGGAAGTTGAAAAAAAAAAAAAGAAAACTGAGCACGAACCCTCGTAGCATAACATCTTCCCTAATCAGTTCAGACACAGTTACCTTATTTTTGATCTAAAGATAGACTTGAAATTTAAACCAACAGTCGATTACATCTTCCTATCCAACATTTCAGGTGAGCGATATCATTAGATTCTCCATGGTGGTAAGAATGTGAGTTACCATGAATTGTATATCCTACATCAACTAAAAAATTTTACTAAATCTGGCGGATTTTTTTTTATGATTCGATTTAATGCGTTTGTTTCAACCCAGTACAAAACACTGGGCTTGCTAGTAAAGTATGCAAATCTTCAGGCTTCTGTGAGAAAATACTCATCACGACCAAAATATATATTGTGATTTCAAATGAAACATCTTTTACCCCAAAATGCCAGCCTCTCGTCGTCTCAGAAACACTGTAAATACAAATTTAATCACAGAAAAAAAAACGTTGCGTTGATAATAAAGGCGTATTTGCAGAGTAATGCCCTTACTGTTCTGAATTAACGCACTTTCAATTAAATTATTTTTTAAATGCGATAACGTGTCACTGGTTAGCTCTTCGTTCGTCCTGAAGTCGGGAGTACAAAGTGAACAGTACCTGCCCTGTGTATAAACTCTCAAAATATTTGCCAGCAAAGGCATAATAGACCTCTTTCGAAATACACGTGTGTGCCAATTGTTAGAAGGTCGGAACCACTGTACAATGACGGAACGACTGACACCGTGCAACGTGCAAGCCATTCCCTAAGATAGCGAACGTTTGAGTGCGGCCAAGTATGGGAGTTGATGAGCCAATGAAACAGCATCGAAAGTGCAACGTCACTGCGCTCATCCCCTTTTTCTGTGGGTATGTTTTCTTTTAGACCAACCAAACGCATAAAGAGTGCAGTGACCGTGCGGTTTCAGTACGCCATTGTGCAGGGATTCCACGGAGAGAAGTATTTCGAAAAGGCTCTATATCTCAGGGCTCTATTTCCTTTGTGCAGAGCACGAGTACAGAAGGCACGCATCGCTCGTTGCCTCCCTGTGAGTCGCAGAAAACCTAGAAAACCAAAATAAAAAGTTAGCGAGTTCAGAACGACGTATGCACACTCGAAAGGTCTTGTCACGTGTCTCAAGGCCGACAGCTCATTGTTCAAAAGGTCACTTCTACTCGACAAAAGGCGAAGGGTGCCCAATTATCTTCCGGTTGCTCGAAGGCACTCTGACTGCACAAGCCTGAGCGGTCTGACGTCATCAAATACTGTGTGGAGAATGGAGCTACAGTGAAGAGCACTCTTGGACTTCGTCTCTGCTTAGCGCTAATACACTGGTGCCTTCTCATTCCTCTTCCACTCTCTCGATTGGATCTCACTAAAGCGAACCTGGAACTGTTTTATAGTCGCGTAAAACTAATATAGAGAGAGAGGGGGAAAACGAAGTAGTGAGGTACTGTAGGGTGAAGACGGCAGCTAAGCAATCGACGAAGTTGTTTTTTTATTAAGTTGGCTAAGGCTAGGCAGGGCACTCCGTCAAGCTTTTTTCTATTTGAGTTAACATTTATTCTGAGTATTATCATTCGACGGTTATTTTGAATTATGTATACACGTACTGTTACTTCCAGATTCATTTGAATCCTGAAGAGTGTATTTTTTCTATCATTTATCGGGTTCTGCGGCTTCAAATTACAGCTCTGTGAATGCAAATACAAGTAAACAGCGATATTATTTGCTGAAGATGGGGAATCGATCGGTAGAACAAATAAAAAATTAAACTGCCGCAACCTTTTTTTCTTTTCTTTTTTTAAGCCCAACGCAGCTATGCGTTGGGCTTAACGCATGCCTAAATTATATTATCGAAGTGCTGGGTTACTTCCACTCTTTGTGTACAGATGAGATGCGCTAGAGCTAAAAATGACGGAATGCCGCCCGATATGACTGAACGTCGCCGGCACCAAAAATGGACAAATGAGAGCGCGGATACGGTAAGGAGCTGGATGAAGCATGCACCATGAGCCAAAAATGGCGACACGTCGCTGGTAACGACGATAGACCAGTAGCAGCGCTCTCTGTATAATAAAATGGTGGTGGAACTTGAATAAGTTGTAATATCCAGGGCTTCAATCCTTCTTTTTTTGCAAATTTACATAACACCCCTGTCTACCACGTCCCTCAAGAAAGAGGCTATAACCCCACGTGTTTTCATCTTTAAATAGCGAGAGATAGCCTTTCGGTAACCACCGCTCACAACAGCAAACTCGGAACTTCAGAAACCCGCATGTCACACTAAAACCTTATCGGCGATAGCCTGGCGGTTGGTCGGTACTTAAACTTCGGCACCGGTCTCAGCGAAAAAGAGTCAGCCTCTCCAAAGACTGCTGATGGCCGTTTTTCTAGTGCCTGCTTGTCCCTGTGTACCCGCAATGTTTTTTCTCTGAATCGGTCGGCGTACTGACGTGAAGGCTTAAAAGGGAGACTCCGAGTGCAGCCCCCGATTGGGAAGGAGAAAGACGCCCAACGCAACCATGAGGTGTCTTTTGGTCTGTGCCTTCGCGGCTTCCGTGGTGCTCCTGACGTACGCCCAGGTCCCAACTCTATGCGGTGCGTACATACGACGAATAGCAAAGTCCTAATCTATTATTTTGGTTAATTCCACAAACCCTAATTAATCTGGAGTGTATGCTTTACCGAACAGCACGTGGAAAAGTCAATTGCTGCAATCTATACGAAGGGAATTCGAGCAGTTACGAGCCAGAAAATATGCTTAAACTTAAAAAAAAAAATATATATATATATATATATATATATACCTTCTAGTCTCTGACGCCAAACATGACTCTTCACGTGCCACAGCGCAGACGTTATTGTTAGGTCTATGAGCATTCTTTTCAGCCTTGCCATTCACCGACCTCCTTCCGTAGATTGTGGCGACCGGCTTTTCCAAGTGCTTTTGTGGAAAAAGGATACGCTACAGATTTTTTTAAAAAAGATATGTAATCTTAGTGTTTTTGCCTCAAGTTTCCCTAACAGCGACGAGCGATTTTCGGAATAGCTGTTCTGTTTAATTATCGGGTAATACGTTCGCGAGCAAAGGGATCTGAACATCCTCAATAAAACATTTATTGGGCACCAACAGCTGATGCATTCGTGACCTGCCTTGATTTAACAAACTATATCGCGGCTTAGTAAGTTGAAATACCGTGATCGAAAAAGACCTTGTTCATTCAAGGTTTTTTTGTTATTCATTTAATTATAGAGTCCCCAGTCTGAGTTACATATTGCCATGTCATTATTTCTGGAAGACTGCTTTTTATCTTACTGATATTCTTTTTCTTTTTCTTTTTAACTCGTACTTTTACGTGATTGTTGTCTAAGTTTCATTTCTCTGTGAAATATATTTTTTTTTCTTTTAACATTGTTATTTTTCCACATTTCTTGATCTGTAAGCTGTTTCTTTTTTATCTTAAAATAATATTATTCTGCATGGCCATTAAACACATCGTGCTTAAAGCAGGCTCTTAGGGACATCCCCAAGAAAGGAATGTACCGGCTTAGGGGTATATTTAGTCGAAATTTAAATATTGTACTGGCAAAACATGACAAATTCAGTGTTTGTTGCATTTTGTGTTCGAGCCTTATTCACAGTTTGCACTGATGGTCATGATTCAATGCAAGATGTTGAGCAACAGATCAAAGTAAATGTAGGCGAGCTGGTGAAGATCTAACATTTCGAGACACTTCCTTGACATTTTTTCGCTCATCACAGTGCTGGGCTCAAGACAATAGAACGTTTCGACAGCAACCTCTCGACATAAAAATAGCACAAAGTACACTTTATATGTCACGCTACTTTTGATGTTATAGCTCTTTAACTTGAGTGTCATTTGAACTGAAGTGATATTTTGAATTAATTTGAGTGACACATTAAGAGCGTAATTCGACTTGTTTATCGCGTCATAAGAAATCCTAATTGACTTACCTGTTTCTTTTAATAATGCCTGCTTTTTCCAGACAAGACCGACGAGCAGCTGCGGGCTGGCGTGAAGTGCCTGAAAGAAAAGGCGTCGCCTAGTGTGAGTGCCACGTTGTGTTATAAGCATTACAAAATCTTAGCAGAAGTGTTGTCAGTTTGGCGAATCGCTATGTCTGTAACTTCAAAAGTAACACTTTAAATAACCCCTTGGGATATCAAGAATTTCAAGATAGATATTTGTTTTCTCATACACCGCAATGGCTACATCGCTAAAAAATGTAGCACGAACATTTAAAAACGCGAGGAACTTTAAGGTGCGATTAGTCTCAAAAGCTATCACAAGACTCGGTATTTTCACGAACAAGAAAGAGAGTAAAATTAAAAACAATATCAAAATACAACTTAGATTTTCAGAACAAGATTAACTGCAGGGGAGAATTCAACTGTGGATTATATAATTCCGAAAAATTCATCGTTGCTCAAAAAATAGTGTTGGCCGAATTTTACAAAATACACATTTTACCAAATCAAATTTAAAGATTACGTCTGTAAACTATAGAAGTATATACGCTGCCAAAACGGCAACTGTTAGAAAATCCAGAATCATAATCCTAAACTGTTTTATTTGTTATATACGGGTAACCTGAAAACCTTTTCCTGGAAAACTTAGACATTACTTGGACTTCAATATTTTCTCATGTAGTCACGTAGTACGTTCCACTTTTAAGAGTGGAAATATTACTGTAGTTTTATGTGAAATCTTCTACGGCCCTTTTTTTTAATAATTGTTTCCGATTTCGCTATGATCCAAATGTTACCATTAAGTTAAGGTCATTAGCCACCTCCACAGTTGTGTGTGCGTGTGTGTGAAATTTCAAATCCTATTCCAAATTTATGTAATATAACCTTTTACAAAATATATCACTCTATACCTAAGGCAAAAGAAAGACCACTCTTGAACTCATCTTACATTTCTTCACGAATCGCTCATGAGTTTAAAGCTAGAGTCCCTCAGTGCTATACCACTGCCCTATCTCGAATCCTTTATTCCCAGAACATCAACCGAGTGGAACCACTTACAGTCCGTTTTAACATCAATACCATCACTTGATTTGTTTAAAACGTCTAGTACTAATTATGTCTTTAAAAATGTCACATGACTTTTTTTTGCATTGCTTTTGGTTTTTGTTTTTGTATTGTTTTCTTGTGCGTGATTATGTGCCCACCCCACTTCAATCAGATTCAGTTTATTTCGCCCGTCGGGGCCTTGAGGGTATTGCAATAAATAAATAAATAAATATGTTGTTCATTTCCTGTTCTCGTCACACGAAATCATAACTAGTGTTGGCTGTTTTGATTTATTTTTTGTTCTATTAAAGTGTAGAATGTTTCAATTACAGGTTTTCTTTTATTGTACTTATACACGTATTGTAGGCCTAATGGGCGGTATTGTTCCGGTTTTTTTGTTTTGTTTTGTTTTCTGCTTTCTATTGTATACTTCATGTGAACTTGCGTTTGAAATTCTATCCCGTACCATTCCCAGCCCCGCTTAGGGGTGAAGGAAAAGTATTCATGTATAAATAAAAATAAATAAATATGAGCACGGTGTATTGTTCTGACGTGCCTTCTTTCACCTTAGGTGTCTCGGGTTTAGTCATGTTCAAAAAGATACCCGTGTGTACCGACAGAAAGAGGAACAATACTTGGTATAATGATAATCATCGATGACAGCTTAAGAAGCGCAGGGAATGGCAAGCCCTGAACATCTCATTATCGCTCAGCATCCAATCAGGTTGCGGGATTTATTGATAAGGACGCCGAAGAACGAATCGCGAAGCATCAACCGTGACCGTCATTGGCCACACCTTGCTTTGTTTAAGATGTCAGTGACCAAAGCAGTCCTTTTCTTTCTTTTTTCTTCTTACTACAAAAATAATGGAAAACTTCAGAGGAGTGATTGCGTGTGTTTTATGTGTTTCCTTGAAACAGCTTAGACGCACCTTGGACCGCCTTAAGGCGCGCGTCGGCTGCTCTGCTGATACCTGCACGGTGGAGTATCTCTGCTCCCACAAGAAAGCCGTGAGTTTGATGCACTCTGTTACATACTTTCCGACGAGCAGCGCTTAGATCTCGTCTCACACGGTGCTTTGTTCTTCGTTACAGCATCTCGCAGTCACCCTTACAGTAAGTACTTTTTATTGTGCTTAAAAATTATACATTTTACCATAGTCCGCCTTCATTATCTTTTTTATCTTGACAGCACGGCGACAGAAAAAAAATCAGATAACATATTTTTTAACTTGTTCATTTTTAACTTAAGATTTCTTAACATGATGAAAAAAAGGCGGAAAGCGACTAAAAGCGCTTTGAAAAAAATCGGCATAAAAATTAACAAAATCCTTTTGACAAAAATAACTGTGTGTTTTAAGAATTGTTTTATGAGTGCTGAAACGATGCACACTATACATATAGTCGTCCACAGCTCAAGGAACACGGGACGCGGCTATTTTCCGGTCATCTTATTATGGCCCCGTAACCAGTGATGTTCCGGCGTTAGCCAATGCAATACAGTGCAATACAATACAACATTTTACGTTTCTTGTTTTTCCCATTTTACATTTTAATTCTTAAATAAGCCAAGAAGGCTCCTGTGTGAGTGCTGTGAGCATCGTCCTGAGTTGCTTAAGCTCTCTGTGACCGTTCAATATGAGGACAGACGCATAAAACGCTTCATTCTTTTGGGATTTTGAATTACACCCGAGAAGATGACATGTGCGTTTGTTTTAACGCAGAACACTCACTGCGATCGTCGGAAATAGTTTGGAGAATCACGAAACAGAACAAAAAAAAATTAAGTTTTCGACCTAAAAACAGTGTGCAGTGGGACATCAAGCATGACCTTTCGTGTGTTCATGTCGTGCAAGGTGTCACATCGCATACTTCATTTTCCACGTCGAAACCTTTTTTTTTTCATTTTTATTTACCGAGTTGTTTTGTTGTTGTTGCTTTTGTTTTTTCAATATACCAAAAATATACCAAAAATGAAAGACTGATGCTCTAAAAAAATTTTTTGAAATGTACGGGACCACCAAGTGTTCCGCGGCTCCCCAATAGGTGGCGCCAGTGTATTATCTTGTCGAAAGAGATTTTTAAGAGGTTTCAAGGCACACGGGTTTAAGAAGTCGCAAGTGTGTGAATGGCCCTTTAGTGCGAAGCTCCTGACGTCCCTTAGTTTTCGAGGTTCCCTTCGTCGCTTTGGCACATACACCACCAGCAGAGAAGCGCCGACACCATGTTCGCACTAACAGTATCGTACGGTGCACGTAAATGTACGTATTATTTATTTTGAACAGTGTTTAATCTCGTTAGTTTTAATAATGTAACTGAACAATATTTTCGACTGCGTCACCAATCAATCAATGTCCCAAGACATTCATTGACTAAAGATTATTTGTAATATTTGAACTTACAATGAAACACTAAGAGAGAACGCACCCACTTTTTTTCATGGAAATGCATTACGGGAAGTTAATATTAAACGGGCTGTCGTCTGCATCAACTTGAAACCGCGTAACAGCGTCAGTTGGACCTAAAACGTACATTATAATAACTATATGAGCTTTCTGCCTGCTTTGTGAAAAAGCAGGGCCAATCACGCAGCGATGGTCACTATAACTGACCACGCTCGGTTTTTCATATGCGATTAACAGATGCCTGTTCGAAGGAAACGAAAACACGCTAAGGAAAGATAACCATGTTGCCTGAACGTGAACCTAACGATTAGCGTTAGATTCACGTTCAACGTGAATTCAACGGTAATGTAACGGTAAAGATACAATAAAAAAAACCTGCACGTTCAGTTTCCCGCAGACCACGCACGTAGCAAATCCCTGCGAAAATTTAAATAATCATACCGAATGCAGAAGCTCATAAAAATAAACCTGAAAAATGCAACTCGCGCAGGAACAGTGAGCAAGTCACATATCGTGCTCATGGTCCCTGCCCTGCGAACATTGAACATTTCAGGCCTAGCCTTACATTGATATATTTTCGGCATTTGGTAGGTGACTGGCTGCGTGGGTTTTGCGTGATTGGCTACGTGGGTTATATGCGGGGAAATTAAAGCAGCAGTTATTGTCCCAACACAATGCACATCGAATATTTCAGGAGTCCTCTCATATTGAGCTTCGGCATTTGGTGATTGGCTACGTTCGTTTCGTGTGTCATTGGCTATGTGCGTTTTATGATTAAAAATAATGCTCAGTAATTCTTAGAGCCTACACTCTTCACTCTAAAACTAAATTTATGATGTTACTTTCCTGCAGAACACAGAGTCAGCCAATCACGGGAAACAATGAAAAGATCCTAGCCAAAAACGAAGCTCAGATTACGATTAGCCAAAAAAAAAAAAGGAATATGCAAAGGTATAATGAGCATGACGTTTCCCTCGTTTATTGTCCCTGGGCATATAGTGTTTCTCAGATCTAATTATATATTGCCCTTTGTCATTATCTGGACTCTTTTTATTGATCCTCATGATTGGCTGCCCGCGTGTTCTAGAGGAAAGTGAGCTCATATACTTTTTCTTTTTTTTTTAAGTGTGGGATCCTTACAGTGTTTGAAGCGATTGGCTATGTGCGTGTTATGCGGGGAAAAATAACGTACAGATATATTTTTTTAGAGCGTACACGTAGCTCCACGACCCGCTGAGGAATAAAAAAAGATCTCTTCAATATTTTTTTTTCTTTTTAGGATGCCGAAAAAGCAGAGTTTCGTCAACTAGTAGAGCAATGCAACGCTGTTCCTACGAAGACGAGCAGCAACTTCATCGTCGCTTGGATCAAGTCTTGGTTTGCTTAAACAGATCATCTTATAACACAATGTAATCGCTAAATAACCGGGCTGTGATTGGTTAACATAAGAAATTTAAAAAAAAACAATTTCAAACATTTTTTTTTTTTTTTACATTATGTGTTAATCGCTGCTGCAGTCGAGCTTGGACAAGCCGTGAGGTCAATTGACTTTATGAAATTAACGTAGTTCTTGGGACCAATTTCGGCACAGCCGCTTTCGGGGGTTGGAGCCTGAGCCCTACCCTATCCTGTTCTGATTAACGTTCTCTCCTGACGTACAACAATTTTGGAGATCTTAAATCAATCGCATTTTTATAACTTTTCAGTGGTATTGCTGCAATTATTGGATGTGTTAATTTATGGTACGAAAATTACGGGTAGCATACCAGGTAACCTTCCCGAATAAAAATATGCTCATAGAAATTGTTTGTTTTGCTTCGTTAGGCTACTTCGCTGTTTGAACTGAACACTACAGGCTTTCAAACCTAGTGAAGTTCATACAACATAAAGATTAGCTCACGCACACGTCAGGAAGTTCCAACAGCGAACGCAGCATCACATTTTACCAAACGGAAAAGTAAGTCAATTTCCCCTCTCCACGCTATTATCTCCTCTGCTAGCCTTTTTTTTCTCTCGGCTGAATCGCGACATATTTGAGCCAAGGCACCTATCAATCGAGGCTTTACGTGCTCCCACGTGACGCCGTGGTATGGTGATGTACCGGTGCTTACTTTCCCCCTCCCCCGGTCGCTGTTTCTCTCCCTCTGCCGCATACCGCAATCTTCAAGCGACGGCGCAGAAAAGTATAAAAAATATAAAAATTAACCGCATTTGTTTTTGGTATATGGGAGCAGCAGCTGTAGGAACTTGCGGACGCTAATCAAACAATCCAAACAGTATAAGTAACGACAGCACTCAGGAGGTCACGACCCTTGCAAACAATCCTCCTTTCTCTAGATGGACATGTCTTTCGAGGTGTCCCTGTTTCTGCCAACAAATCCGCCCACTCCTGTGAAGCAGGCTAGCTATCAAATGTGACGCTCCAGGTGCAGTCGAGCCCCTGCCAAGGACCTCGCGATTCCAGAGAGCCAGCGTTTGCTACTCTACTGAACCCAAGTCCAACTTGGGCTCCTGGACACAAAAGCAGAAGATACCAGGGAGACGGGTGCACGTATCTCAACAAGCGTCGGGAGAGACTGTCCATCTTCCAATGGCGTTCAACTGTAATTAACGAGCTAATTCGTAAGACGATTAGCCGAAGTCCTTAGTTCGTTCACATTTCATACGACTCGAAGGACCAGACCGTCGGCCTGCATGAGGATGGTATCTTTAGGCTGTGGTCGGCCGGGTACCCCGAGAAAATATCTGAAATCAATTAGGGACCGTTACCGTTGACCACTGTCCGTGAAGTGCTAAAACAATCGAAGGTGCCTGGTACTTTAAAAATAGTAGCCCTGCCCCTTTCGCCGGGGTTGTCATCTGTGCCGTGTTTGACACAATCCCCAGTTTACTACTGACAAGTGTTCCCCGGTGGCGGGCAGCTCGACTGGCGGCATTGAGGGGGATATAACCCGCGCTTTACTCAGTAGTTCCTGTGACGGTGCAGTGCTGCGTAGATCCGATTGGTCAATTTAAACTTTTACTTGTGTTGTATACTATAAATGAATTTACAACAAAAATATTATTTTACACAGAAAGTAGCCGTTACGTAAACTGTTTTGGTGGTTATTATATAGCTTATCATGAACTGAAGCGCGTCAAGAAGTGGCAGTATTTTATTTCTCATCTACAGTGTGAACCAGCGTCGTTATGCTATGGCGGTCCTCACGCTGTCTAGATAATGTCGTCTAATTTCTATTTGCCCTTTTTATTACTCACTTTTCCACTATGTTCGCCCAATAGAATAGAATAATTACCCCGAAATGGGACAGATAAGTGAGATGGAACAAGTCGCCCCAAAGTCTAGTAAAAAAAAAAATTGTTGCGAAGCTCTGTCGTCCTTCTTCCTTTTGTGAATAAATTCAGTTGCAGCGCTTGTGTGCTCTGCATGTTCCTTTTCTCTGTCCTTGTCTTTTTGTGCGCTGTTCTGTTCACCATGTCGCACATGGTTGACCTTGCTAGCAGTCATCACTTCCCCCTGTCTCCCTATACCGTAATTCCAGCATTGATGTGTCCCATATTTTATGCGATATATTTCTCTCCGCAAGTACTGTATTTTGCGGAGTTTGATCCTCTCCCGGTGTATAGTCCAGTGGGACAAATTTAAGCCCAAAATGAGGGTTTTCTTTAGCTAGTCTGGACCCGGTGCGAAGCCAGCAAAAACAAATGTTGGCCGAAAATAAAGATTTTTTCTTAGATAGTTCATAGTCCCAGAAATTCGCATACGATTTATGCGCGACATAAATTCACTCTAGCGTTGCCATGCTCTTTCCCTACAGCATATCGCTAAAGCGCTAAATCCCATGGTCGTTAAATAAAGAAGTTTCAAGGTAAAAGCCAATGACGTCCCATTTCTCGGTAGCACGCCTACTCTTCCGAATCCTCTAGACACCTCGTTGCTCGCTGGGCTGCCTTGTTGGTTACTTTACCTATGCTTCTTGTCGCGGGAGGCCCGGCTGATTACTTGTCATCCCGATATTGGAGATGACTCTAAGGTTTTATTACAATCGTGCAGTCAGTGCCACATAGCCCATGGAGGGCTTCGCATAGTGTGCCTTGGCCTGTATCTCCTTCCTCGAAGGTCACACACATACACGTAGGAAAACGTGTCGGTTGCCACCTCCGCAGTTGACAGGACGGCCTCGTCATCGGTCAGTGGCTATAGCCTATAGTGTTGGCGAGATACTGTAATTTCAAGGACGGTCATAAATTTTTTTTTTAAAAATGGACGCGGATTTCCTATTATTATTTTGATGAGTGCGTAGTCAACGTGACCATCGCCCTCGACATTTCGGTCCCTACTTCATTATATTTTTTTTATCTACATTTGTTTTTTATTATTTTACGTGTGCTTTCCTTTCTTTTCATTTTTGTGGACGAAATTGTCACAAAAGTTTTTTAACTTCTGTTTGTTTGTTTTTTTATTACAGAGATTTATTTAACTTTGTTGCATTAACCACTTTCCCTTTCAGTACTTTTAGAAAGTATGTGCGTTTACTTCCCCGAGGTGCGCTCTAAAAGCCAGTGACTGCGATGTCTACGGACGAAAGTCGACTAGCGTCAAGGCCGAAACTACGTCTAGAGCTAATCCTGAAGTCTGCGATGTAACAAAGCATGACTTTAGCACGTTAGACGTTACGTCCAACGTGCCCAATGTAAATTTTGAAAATGCTCTCTTTTTTTTAGGTTCATACCCAAGCAGCGCGGAGTTTGTCCAAGCATTGGCCAATGACATGCTATGGTCTTTTGGCCAATGGCCAAAGAGTGGCCACTCATCGGTCAATGGTCGGCCGATGGGCGATGGCCAGTGGCCATTGGCCACAATGGCCAGAGAAAGGTAAGTCATCGGCGTGCGGCTGGCCACTGTCTAGCCACCGGGCAAAGGACCATTGCAAGCCATTGGCCAATGATCGGCCAAATCTGTGCCGCTTGGGTAGTTAGTGACAGCTAAAGAAAAGCAGGGCGTGCCCAAGCACCTTTATGGTATCGTTCCGCGACCAATCAGATAGCGGCATTATCCGATAGGAACGTCGAAGAACAGACCACGAAGCAATGGCAACATCGGTCGTATTACCCACTTAGCCGTGATGCGATTATCCGTCATAGCGACAGTGAACCGAAGCAACGGGTCGGGTCATATTAAGCCACGGCCTCCATTTTAGTGACTAAGCATATTTTTTGTCTCGTCACTCGCCAAACCCACGCCCGCAGATCGCGGCTATTGCATCCGAGTGCCCCCCCCCCCCCCCCCCTCCCCTAGTGCAGGAGAATTTCTAACAATATACGCCTCGCAAGTGGGCTCATTTTTGTCTTCTGCGCATGAGAAAGGAAGTAGCGGTGACGTCAGAACGCCGAGCCCTGATTGGCTGATCGCGACCCCCTATCTGAGCGTCGTCTGCTCCTTTGCAACGTCGTCTGCTCGCACCGTCGTCTGCGTCTGTCTCACCTTTCCTGCGACTTTCGGAAGTGCAGGTCTTTACGAGCGAGCTCGACTTGGCCTTTCAGAGAGGGCAGACGAAATAACTCGAGCGATACGTTGTTTTTGTCTAACAACTAGCAGACGCGCATCAAGGAGGCCAGTCAAAGGACTCACTGGCGAGGTGTCCCGAGGCGCCGAGGTTTGTTTGCTAAGAACCGAGAGGTGAGCGTGTTAGTGTACGCAGGTTCCCTCCCAAATACTTTTTCCCTCCTTTCGTGTGCGGCGAGACCCCTCATTCTTTAACGGCGCCGGCGGGTTGGCGTCGTCTGCTTTACGTCTGCTAGTCAAAGCGATGGCTGCTTTACCTTTCCTGCGTCTGTCGGAGATTCACCGCTTTTTCACCGGCGAGAGTCACCGTTGCCTCGGGAAACAAGGAGATAACAAGAGGAAGAAACTGACCTCTTAATCTAAAATTGAGGTCAGCGATCAAAATATAATACGGGAAGGGTTCACAAGGGTCGCGCGGGCATATTCCATTCAGCACGCCAGCCGGTCGTGGGCAGACTGTCGCCGAGTCGCGGAGTGCCTGCTAGGCCTAACTGCCGTGCTCGCTTGGTCGCGTTCGGTGGAATCGTGGGAGTTGGAGCTTTTCCCGAGTATTTGTGGATCCAGCGTTCTTGTTCGTCGTGGTCTGTTTCAAGTACTTTTTTACTTTTTTCTTGCTGCTTGAAGTCGGGACGCGTGAGAAGCGCACGTAGAAAAATAAACGTCCGTGGGTCGTCGCGACCGCGACGCTGTCGGCCATGCTGATTTGATCGTAAAAAGTGCGTAAGACAGCTTCGGAGCTGTCGTAAGATTTTGTTGTAACCTGAGCAAAACTTACGAAAATTTCGTTTCGTGAATACGAATTTGTTCTTAAGTTTTGTCTTACGCACATTTTTGGCGGAAGGTCGTTTCGTGAATCTGGCCTCTGCACTTCCGAAAGTAGCAGGAAAGGTAAGACAGACGCAGACGACGTTGCGAGCAGACGACGTTGCAAAGGAGCAGACGACGCTCAGATAGGGGGTCGCGATCAGCCAATCAGGGCTCAGCGTTCTGACGTCACCGCTACCCCCCTGCGCAAGAAGCAGACGAACTTGCCCTCCGCATTGGCCAAACTCATCCTTTCTTTTTTTTTTCGCTCGTCTTTTAGTTTTAGTCGTTCATTCCAGTTGGCCGAAAATGTCGAGGTCCTCCATCGCTCTTTTCCTTTCCCCCGACTGCTCCCTGTTCATTATGAATCAGGCCCCTTCCAAAACAGGCAAACACGGACCTCGAGTTTCCTTGTTCGGTCCTCCGTCACTGA